TTTGGCTGCAAAGCATAGAACAACCACAGGCATTGTTGTTGGCGAGCATAACTAGAGCCATTATTTTGCTATTCAAAGTAATTGACATGTGCACGCCCTGGTCATTAGAAACACGCCCAAGATCTAAAATCCTAGCTAAGACCCTGCTTTGCTCCCTCTTTATGTCAATATTATTAGTGATGTAACATCCTAGCTACTGAGATTGAAACAAAAAGTGGGTTGAACGTCTGTATTCTCTGCGGTCGTTTCCGTGTATTTTTGGTCAAATTGCGACACTTTGGGTTCTCTTTATGTATAGAGCACACACGATAGATAGACGAAGCGTCCTTGCCGAAAGTACAGCACCTTTGAACCTCGCTTTCATGATTCGGATTTTTGCTTTAGAGCCTTTTACCAAAGAAATTAAGACGTTTGTAGAAATACGTTACCAAAAATTATATATGTAAAGACAACGTCCCTTTTGGGTGGGCCTGACTATCAGCCCCCCCCCCCCCTGCGCGTTTCAAATAAACGCCCCAGAATTAAGTTAACCAGCTTTCGATCAACCGGCACAAAATTCTTGTGCAAGATATATTTCCCTGGGCAATTAATTTGGTTGCTTACTTTCTAGGAATTATTACTGTACAGAGATGATGTATTAACTAAACCAAAAATATTAGTTTTGAATAAAATGGATTGCGCCGGAGCTGAAGACAAGTACCGCATCTTCAGAGAGAAAAGTGGCGATTCAATTTCACAAGGTACGAGAAATGTGTTCAACATGTAAATATTTAGGGCTTGTGTCTATGGCAGGAAGCATATAATTTAGACAAAATTTGATATACAAACTGAATTTATGTACACGATCAGATGTTGGCCACTAGATTAGACTTTGAGCAAGGGTAGGGACAGGCACATTATGCTAAAAAAATTGCCTATTATGCTATTCTCAAATGCTCCTGACTTTACCCTATTATGCCCAAAATTTTTCCCTATTACGCCCATAATTATGCTATATCATAATCAAGAGCACAAAAAACAAGAACTTTATTTAATTCAACGTTTGTTATAATTAACGTTTGTTATATTGCAACATGAGTGCATGAGGCCTCAACAAGGTCCTCTGGCCCGCAGATGGTTGTCACATATGTGTATTACGTAATTACGTTAGCAAAATGACGTCATACCGAAACTTTTGCCTATCGTGCTCGCTCTTTGCCTATTGTGCTCGATCTCAAAAGGGTTCCCTATTATGCTAAAAGAAATGCCGGCATAATGTGCCTGTCCCTAAGCAAGGGGATATTAATCATCGTAAGAATTTATAAATATTCAATACCTACCAATCATATTCATTTCCATAGGATATACTGTATACTGGTTTCAAAAATATACGTTATTACTCGCTGGGGCACTCTGTGCCCCGGACGAGTATAGGTTTCGGCTTGCATTTTTGGATCGTCGATAGCCACAAAATAGTAGTGATGGGCGATACCAGGATTTTTAATTCGATACCGATACCGATACTTTTAGGATCGGTATCGGCCGATACCGATACCTATTTCGATACCAAAATAAACACAAAATTTCAATTTTCGATACCGGAAGTGAGTACTTAAATTGCTAGTATCGGCTACTTTCGATACCTGCCGGTCAGCGGAAAAACATTTTACATTACTGTATGTAAAATAAATAAAGCTATAACTAACTAAAAGCCCGAAACGTAATAAATATTTTCTATACATGATTTGGCGCACCACATTTGCAATATTAAAAGTTATTTTAGTGGTTCATTAAGTCTTTTTCAAACAAGAAGTGAAATTAAACAAGTTGTTTAAAAAAGGGTGCAAGTATCGAACGATACCACGTCAGTAATCGATACCGATACCGCTGTTTGTGGTATCGCTGGTATCGAATACCGAGTACTCGGTATCGCCCCAGAGGAGGTCTCGTCAGTATACCACAATGCATTGCGGTTTTGGACCATTGTATACATATTATCAATTCTCCGGCGCAGCTCGCTCAGTGTTCGTTAGCTGTCGTTGTAAACACATCTCAGAAAATCTATCGTTTTAGAAAATGGCGCATATTTTTCGCTCCTGGCATGGGATTAAAGCTTCTCTTTTGGAAGCAGTGAAGTACCTCATCTGATTTATGTTTGTTGGGTCCTCACAGCTTTTGTATTTAGCCCCTGATGGAGTAACGTGTGTTGAGCAGTGCCGTAAGATTAACGTTGGTTTCAGCTGAGAAGCCATGCAATTTTTCTATCAACTGTGAATGGGGTTAAAGTTGCCCAAATGTTTACCGAATGATGCATTCTAGTTGTGTTTTTAAGGTGAGCTTTTCACAGTAAGAGGTTATATTGAAGTTGTAGATATTCGAGCACTTTATAGAAACATCAAACATGCACAGCCTCAATAAATATGGATACGATTTATATCAAATTTGCCATGTTTTAATAAGGGTATTATAAAATTGCCATATATAATAAATGTAACTAACACCAGTTATATCGACTTCAGTAATAATATTCACTACAGAAACTTCATATCATGATAAAGATTTAAAATCGTAACAAGTTTTGGAAGCCACTTTAAATTTTTAGGGCATATATGTAGGACTTTGTACAATCTTTTATACAGTATCTCCTGAAGTTTATTCTGACATAAAACTGATTTGTTCTTGTATATCTTGTATTAGTTCTTCGACTTGGATGACCCTGGCAAAGAGAATATTCAATATATGTAATATTTTGTGGGAATTTGGTATTCTACCATCACCATAAAGTGATGGTCAAGAGTTGGATGCTGTACTCCACCACCAAATCAGTAAAAAGACAAGCACCATGTAATTGCTACCATCAACATATGAATCCTGTCTGCTTAGTAGATCTACCATCTCATTGAGAGTCAACAGATAAGATGATGAAGAGGTACATGTATGTGATATTGATGAGACAGGTTTTATACCCAGGTTTGAGGTGTATGTCTGTATGCCATCAGACAAATTAAACTAACAGACAACCATAAATGGTAAAATATATAACTCTGTGCAGCCACGTACAGTTCTGGTACACGACGGTCACTAGTTATAAACAGAATAAAGACACAAGTCAATTGATTTTGAAATTATTTTATTTTATGAAATGTTGCACTATTTCCATTTTTAAAACCAAAATACATGGGAAGTATAAGGTTAGAAGAACAGGAAACAGTGCTTTTAATGTGCATACCCCTATCTAAACCTACTGTATAAAATATTATCTAGAGTCATAAAATATTAAAATTATTTATACCTATTTATATATTTATATGTTAACTGCTTAACTTATTTATTTTTTAAAATTATGATTTTACATTGTGAGTGCACCAGAACTCGGTTCCAGCCGGCTAGTTCTTGCCGGAACTAATAAAAAAAGCATGACTGGAACTCTGTTGTTTTCAGAGAGATAGAATATTATACGTTTTTGTGGCAAACCAAAGTTCACAGTAGGAAGGAATTTGGACTACACAAGGAAAATGTACATGACGTTTAAAGTTTGTCAATCTTTTTATTCTCACATTTGTGAGCTCTCCTTGATGACTTGAAGTGTCTGCCTGTCTGGCAGCAGACAAAGTAACATATGACTATATATGGCTTAATAAATCAGTTCCGGCAGGAACTTTAAAAATTGGTTCTGGTGCACCCCTATTTTACATATTACTACAGCATGGCTTAATGTCAATAATATATACTATGGTGTAATGTGAAATGTAAAACTGATGAAGTATGAATAAAGTTTAAAATATGCCTTATCATTGCTTTACTGGACAGTCACTCTGTATTATGAATGAGATGCAATGAGTATTCTCCAAATGGCTTGCCAATATTAGTACACTTTCCAATGTGGGCAATGATTGAGCAATGTCTGCAGGTTGTGGTGTTTCAGTTCACATTGTGATGCTGTTTGGTTGTACTGTGTGTCTGAGATTCAACATTTACAGGCTTGTGTGTTTTGGTAAAATGATTTTTTGTGTTGTCAATTACAAGCTCAGCCAAACTGTCATATATACTATATAGACAAGCCAAAATATGATGAGATTCAGCCTCCTCCAAGGAAGCAAATATTTTTCTGTAGGAATTGTATACCCTTGACCTTTAAGTTGACTATCTGAAAGACAGAAAGATAAAATGAAACAAGTTAATTGTACTGTTCTGAAATATATATCAGGTGTTGATGGAACATTGGCCATTTTATTATTGAGAGATATGAAGTGATTATGACTATGGGGTCATTCATAGCATAATTTTGACAAGAATACAGCCTAATGAGTAATGCTAGCGAATGGAGTTCATAAGATGTCAATGACATATCCATGCAGCATCATTATTCCTGAAATTCAACAAAAGTACACACAGGGAGGGGGGCTCTTAACCTTTCAAACTGAAAGCATAGTGGCCACACCCCCTCACCTGCCCAATAATTTCTAACAGCATCATGGGCAGATTCACTGGGGGGGCCTAGAATCTCTCTAACCCCTCTTATAAAGTGTTCAACCCCAAAATTTTGCTTCACCCCTCCTATTTTGTGTGAAGGTCTTTAATCCTAATGCCCAACCCCTGCCGAAGCTCGCTCAGTGGTGCCACTTACACCTCACTAGAAATTTTTCCACTCCTTTAAAAAATATGAAAATCCGCCCTTGAACAGCATCTTGATGATACTCGTATACCTGACTCCAGTGGCGGAAAATAGGGGGGGGCGCCCCCCCCAATAATTTTAGCTAGCTTTCATTTTGAAAAATGTAACATGCGGGCCAGATGCTATACCTGGCCAATAAGGGGCTCCCATAGCCGGATGACATAAAAAATCACAGGTCTAGGTGCACTTGCTTGGGTATTACTACTCGAAACATATACACGCTTAGCAGTATTCTTATTAGCGACATCACAAGATTACATTTCATAGCAAATCATAGAGGTATCCTATTTATATTAATACAAACAAACAACATTGCTTTCTCCAGTATAAACTGTAAATATCAGTCTTAAACAAGCTATTGTCTCTTTAATACTTCATCAATATAATAGAAAATGGATAAGAACATTTGATAAAGGGTATGAACTCATGTTCCTATATATCAAAACTGAAAAATAACATGATCGCAGGCCATTGCATGATGAATTGAATATCATTGTGTTTTCGCGCCATTTCGCGCGGTAACCGGAATGTCGCGTGTTTACGCATAGTTTGAATCTGGTTCGAATAAACCAAGCACCAAATACTCCATTTTGAAAAGCCATTAACTTCTCGGTTTGAGGGGTCGTTTTTGATTTCTTCGTATCAATTGAAAGAATAACTTCTCTTCTATGTACTGGTACGATTTTTTTTTACTTTTTCTATTTTAAACTATAAACGACCCCATCATATATTGAAGCCAATTTCCGGCCGTGTGCAGTGACCCGGAAAATAGGTCAAAACATATGCAAATTATTCGCCCCAAAAGTATCAAATAACCCAAATAAAATATTTATATAGTAAATTTCAATACTCAAGAACATATTTTTAATAAATACCTTTGAAACTTTCGTGATTTTCAGCGAGAAAAAATTCGATAAAAACTCCCAATTATTTCGTCGATCGCACGCGAAATTCACAATTGAGAAAAAAATCCGCCGCAATGCATCACGGTATAGTGACGATTCCTCCTCTGAT